CTTTCATTTAGACTCCGTTGGTTAATTTTGAATTTATTTTTATTATATTATTTTTAGTAGGCCGGGACAGGAAAACTCCGTTATAAAATCATAACTTCTTCATCCGACGTCCGTTTTCGTCTGTCTTTTTACCGTTGGACTACTAACGACGAGATATTCGATTCTCGTTTAGATTGTTTAGGCCAAATATCACTCGATCTCAATTTCGAGATTTGGGCTGTATACCGCTAAGTCGAAACTTAGAAAAATCATAACTTCTTCATACGAAGTCAGATTTAGACGTTCTTTTTATGAACGCTCTCGGTTTAACGTATTCTACGACTTTCGTTTAGACCACTAAGGATAAATATCGCTCTATCGTAAATTCACTATTTACGTCGCGTTGTGTCGTGCCGTTTCTGTCGCGAAACTTCGACAAGTCATAACTTCTTCGTTATAACTCGGATTTCGACGTTCTTTATATGTACGAAATCCTTGTAACATATACTACATCTTGGTTAAGATTACTCCTTCCAAATAATATTCCATCAAAAAGTCATTTTTAACGCTTAACGTCTCTAAATTGACTAGCCCGGATCTACGGGCGTTACAAGTACCGAAGCGGTACTCAAGACTACTAAGATGAATCAGCAGGTCTGGAGCAAGCTCCAGACAACTCAGAGTCGGCAGAAAAGCTATGCCGACAAGCATCGGTCAGAATTGGGGTTTCAGGTGGGGGATATGGTTCTCTTGAAGGTGTCACCTTGGAAAGGTGTCATCCGGTTCAGGAAGCGAGGCAAGCTGGGCCCCAGGTACATCGGTCCGTTCAGGGTTTTGGCTCGGGTGGGCCGGGTTGCTTATTGTTTGGATCTTCCAGCAGAGCTCAGCCATATTCACAATACATTTCATGTCTCTCAGCTGCGGAAGTGTTTAGTGGATGATTCCGTAGTTGTACCCTTGGAAGATATACAGGTGGATGACCGCCTGAATTATATTGAGAGACCAGTGGCAATTTTAGATCGGAAAACGAAAACCTTGAGGAATAAGGTTGTGGAGCTGGTGAAGGTGCAGTGGATGCACCGCAAGGGATCCGAGTGGACTTGGGAGCCCGGGGAGGAGATAAGGGAGCATTATCCGGAGTTGTTTGGGGCGGCGGACTTCGGGGATGAAGTCTGATTCAAGTGGGGGAGAATTGTAACGCTCGATATTTCTCCAAGGTATTATTTATATTTTGGGTTAATTATTTTGTATTGACTTGGGCTTGGATCCTTTGGATCCTTATTATTTGGGCTTAAGGGTGCCGTACGCTGGGCGTACCACCCTGTGTACACACAGCGTACTAGTATGAGATGATCGTGCATGCCATGCATGTATGTGCAGTGTACTAAAGAGTACGTGCAGCGTACGCGTGCAGTCCCAAAACCCTAAATTTTAGGGTTGAGCCCTATATAAAGAACATTATGTCTTAAAGACCATCCTACTTCTCACTCTTAAGTAGCTCCCACGAAACCCTAATTCATATATTGTGTGTTCTTGTGTTTGGAAGGCCTCTTGAGAGCATTCTTGGTGTTTTGATCCATTCTCCAAGGAAATGAAGGTTGAAGCAAGGTGGTGGTTCAAAGGAGAAGGTGTAGATCTGGGATTGTTGCTTCATTTCAGACCTTTTCAAGGTATAAAGTCTTGAACTTGGTTATGAATGCTTAGATATCTTGAGTTGAGTTTTGGACCTCTTTGGTCCAAAGAATGAAGCTTTATGGTTTAAAATCGTTTCCTAAGCTTAGGGTTGCCACCCTTGGTGTTATGGGAGTCCCTAAGTCAGAAAGTTGCCATCTTGGAAGTCTTGTAGAATCCATGCATGGGTTTTGTTCATTTTTAAGGAAGTAGGTTGTTATATTTCAGGTTTGGGCCCATTTGGGGGCATGCAAGCCGCCAAGTAATCGACTTTATGGGTTAAGACCCTTCAATGGACTTAGATCTGCTTTTGGAGCTTCAGGTCTTAAGGGATTAAGCTCTTTTTGGGATTTTGGCTTAACAGGAGAGTACGCTGGGCGTACAAGCCCGTACGTGCAACGTACAAGCCATGCATCCTGTACGCTAAGCGTACAGATGAGTACGCCCCGCGTACTCAGTGGATTTGGGTTGCTGTCTTTTGGGCCTCGGTTTGGGCTGTTTTCTTAGGATTGTGCGTTGGGCCTCAGTGGGCCATCTGGAATCGACTTTTGGGTTAGGAAAATGTTTTTGGGCCTTGGTTTAGGGCCATGAGAAGGGATTGGGACCAATTGGAAATTGGGCCATATATTAGGCCTTGTTGGATTATTTATCTCTTTTGGGCCATTGGTTATGATTTAGAGTTTCATTTTGGGACAAGATTATGTTAGGGGTAATACGGTATTTTACCCCAGTGAGGACTTGTGGTTAAGTGATAGAGATCCCGAACTTAATTAGCTTTTATTTGTCAATTGATAGCTCGGGGAATCATAGGACCAGCAGTCCGGGATCATCCGTATCATTCATCTTAGCGAGGTTAGTTTCCTCTTGAAATGAACGGGTCGAAGGCACCAATGCCGGCCCATGTTTATGATTATATGCTTTCCGGATTACGGTCTGATGCCGGGCAGGGCCCGAGGAATAGTTGTATGCTCTGTGTCTTCGTGACCCTTGCATGTGTCTGTACTCGTATGCTTCCAAAATAAGGTCCGATGTCGGGCGGTGCCCGATGACTATTTGTATGCTTCGTATCTATGTGATTAGTGTATGTGTATGTGTGTTTATTTGATATATGATATGTGTATGCCGAGTTCAACTCGATGCCGGGCGGGGCCCGATGCCGGACTATGTCTGATGCCGGGCGGGGCCCACTATATGTGATTATGTGTTTTGGTATGTGGTATTTTGGGGAAATTCACTAAGCTTCGTGCTTACGATTTTCAGTTTTGGTTTCAGGTATTTCCGGTAGCAAGGGGAAGAGCTCGGGATGACTACACTGCACACACCATGATTTGCCTGGGATTTTACTTTGATGTTTTTGATATGAATACTTTGGTTTATGAACATGGTTGGATGTTTTTAACAAATGTTGTTTATTTAATAAATTAAAAACAAAATTTTTGGGACCATATTTTATGTATGTTACATAACATTTTTGGACCAAAAATGCATAAAGTATCCAAAATTGGACTACTTTTGCACCACAAAACTTTTTTGGACCAAAATCATATAATTTTAACAAACATAGAAACCATTTTTGCAATTTTTTCAAAGCTCAAATGCAAGTGGAAACCAAGTACATATGTGTCTTCCTCAAGCTTAGTCACCACTTACCATTATTTTTTTTATATAGAGGTAAAAGGTTCATTATTAAACCATTTTACAATACACCTACTAGCTTTTGAAAATGATATTTACTAGTGAAGTTCCAATAAGAAGAGAGAGAAAGAGAGAAAACGAGATGGGAAAAAAGAGAGAAAAGTTTATCTCTCTCTGTGAACGATCGTGGAAACCCCCACTCCACAAGATACTTATGATAAGTCTATAAAGAGTACTCCCATAACCATGAGCGTAAGGATGATGTATCAATGCCACCTCATGGTGAACACCACCCCACAGTTGAGTAAGAACATTGTGGTTGTGAAGTCAAGTGAATAGAGTCACGAATATTCACAATCTCTCTCTTATTCATACCTTTTCTCTCTCTCTCTCTCTCTCTCTCTCTCTCTCCTCTTTTAAAATTTATTTATTTTATTTATATAAAAGTCGTTATGTGGAGTTGTAGGTATTCTCATAGTAACTAAGGATGTAGTGGAGTTGATGTGGCGTTGATGTGTCGGTAACAACCTTGTGAACCACTCCTTATACTTATAGCCTAACTTGGGGTGATTTCACTAGTAGAAACCCCTTTCATGTCGGTTCCTATACGTGATATTGCCTCCATACCGACCAACCTAACAGTTAATTAGAAAAAATAATTCAAGAAGACAAAAGCAAAGAAAATTAGGAGGAGATAAGAAAACGACGGAAGAGACGGGCTGAGGGAAACGAAGGCCGAAGATAGGTTGAGGAGGGCGGCGACGCGTGTCTACATGTGGTAATCTTGAAGCTCTCCCAATGACAAAAGGATGTAATTTTTGATTTTTTAGGGTTATTTGTCTTTTTTTTCTTCCACTTTTCATGTGTTTTTCACAATCAATATCTTTTATATTATTTTTTAAACATAAAATATCAAAATTCAAAATATGATAACTTATATTTATTATCTATAAAAATGATTTATTTATTTTTGTTAACCACTATTAATATGGTTGTTTTTTTTATAAAAAAATTAGGTCAAAATATATATCAAATGTATAAAACCTTTTTTTGTGTCCTATTAAATATTATCACTCTCCATCTAAATTTTTATCACATGTCCATGTTTATGCATCTGATTTGATATATTATTTAACTATTTGTAAAATATGTGTTTTAGTGCGTTACAACTAGTTGATAATCTAACTTATTTTTTGAGTTTTTGTTAAGTTGTCGTGTTTGACAAGCAAAAAAATAGCTTATAAACTACTTTTAAAAAACTAATTAGACTAGGTTTTTAAGATTTTTTTCCAAAAATTTTCCTAAATTTATGTTTAATTAATTATAAAAAACATATTCTTCTAACAACTATCTTTTCAACTAACAATTACAAAGCATTGTTTTTATGTCATTTTATATATTCTAGATAGCTTATCAACTAGTTTTTTATGGTACGTTATTTTTTATAAGTTAATTTTTCAGTTACAACTATTTTTTTTAACTATCAAATAACGAATAGTGTTTCAGTTAATATGTAAAAATAGCTAAATATGGTTGAAAAAGAATAGGACAACCAATTTTAGATTTGTAAAGGGTTGATTGTACCTATTTGGGTTAGATTTGTCTTCATCTACAATCTAACAAAATATTAGGGGCATCAAATGCAATTTTGTGAAATAGGCAAACACACTATCCATCCTATTATTTTACAACTTTGCTTGTCTGTCACTATTTCTTTACCCCCTCTCTCTCTCTCTCACACACACACACACATTGCTAGAGCAGAGACAAACGACACCGAACCCAACTCCCCACTGTTTTAGAGAGAGAGAAAAAGAGAAGGTTCAATTTCTGCCAAAATGCTCTGAAATCTATCATGAGGAAGAAGAATCAGGAAATAGAAGAAGACGAAATTCGTCTGTGTTTTGACTAACCAATCCAGCAAATAAATGCATGCTCGTTGTATCTGCTTCAATGCTCACCAAACAACTACACACATTGTATCCAGCAAAAAAAGCTAGCAAATTCCTCAATGAACCCTAAAAGACTGAACACCAAAGGTAAAAATACATATATCTATCCAACATTCTGATTTTTGCTACTTCGTTTACTATTTCGTTTACTTTCACACTCTAGTGTGTGTTAATTGTCGGTGAATACGGTTTAATATGCATGCCAATTGTTCTTTCAAATTGCATCTGTTGCGATTAAGGTCAACTTTAATTGAATCTGAAAAATTCTCTTCTTTTAAATGATTATGCGCTGTTCTTTTTATTATAATTTATCATGTTTTTTTTCTTTGATCTACTTGTTTTTTTAGAGTTTCTTCTAGTAGAAGACTGTAAATTACCGATATACGCTGTATGTATTTTTACTATTTGTTCCTTTTTAGTCAATCCTTCGCCTTTATCAGATAAAGAAAGCGAAAGCTAACAGAGAATCTCTGAGATCTTGCGTCGCTCATTTCCTTTTCACTATCATTCTGCAATAAAATACTGACTAATTTCAATCTTTACCAGATTCTGCTATTGAGGATCTTTGAATTCAATTCCATTTCTCGAAGATCCTTTTAAGTTTCCATAAAAGAAACAATCGAACCTATTTCTATTTCGAATGCGCTTCATGAATCCGTGAATTGAGAAACATAACAAGTGAAGAAATTTAGGGTTTTGGGAATTAGTTTGAAGAATCTTCAATGGCTGCAGCATGGGATCATTTTGGAGACATTGCAAATGTAGCCCAACTTACAGGTTTAGATGCAGTGAAGCTAATAGGAATGATTGTTCAAGCTGCTACCACAGCTCGTTTACACAAGAAGAACTGCAAACAATTTGCAATGCATTTGAAATTGATTGGAAATCTTCTACAACAACTCAAAATCAGTGAGCTTAAAAGGTATCCAGAAACACGTGAGCCTTTAGAACAACTTGAAGATGCATTAAGAAGATCCTACATTTTAGTCAACAGTTGTCAAGATAGAAGCTATCTCTACTTACTTGCAATGGGATGGAATATTGTTTATCAATTCAGAAAAGCACAAAATGAAATTGATCGATACTTAAAGATTATCCCACTCATCACTCTTGTTGATAATGCTCGAGTCAGAGTACATAAACTAAACTTCATCTTGTTCTAAATTCTAATTTATTTTACATTTTTTTAAGACAGAGTTATAAATATTTTGTTTCAGGAAAGATTGGAGTATATTGAAATGGATCAAAGGGAATACACATTGGATGATGAAGATAGAAAGGTGCAAGATGTTATCATGAAGCCTGATCCTTCACATACTGATACTGCAGTTTTGAAGAAAACACTTTCATGTAGCTACCCGAATTTACCCTTCAAGGAGGTTATTCAGAAGGAAAATGAAAAGCTTCATATGGAATTACAAAGATCACAAGCTAATTTAGATGTGGGACAATGTGAAGTAATTCAACATCTGATTGAAGTCACTCAAGTTGTTGCTTCAAATTCTCAACATCAACAGGATTCACCAAAAAAGAGAATAGAGCCTCAATATCCAGATGTTATTAACACCAATAAACAAGTTCAAGATGAGACTGATTCAAATACAAATACAAAGCCACACTCAACTTCAAGGTTGGTTTTCGTTTTTCATAATTTGACAATTTGGGTTTTGGAATGTAAGGGTAAAATGGTCATTTAGTCAAGTGGTGTTGCAGAATCACATCTTTAGTTCCATATGGACATCAAGAATGGCATTCAGATCTACTTGGGTGTTGTTCAGAGCCTAAGATGTGTATGTTTATTATGTTTTCTCATTTTCTAAACTTTTTTTCATTATCTTTATATCAAAATTCAAAATATATAAATACTTTAAGTATTTTTTTTAAAATTTTTTGTATTGATATGTGTAGGCATGAGGACCTTCTTCTTTCCATGTGGGACGTTTTCAAAGATTGCATCTGTGGCAACAAACAGGCACATGAGTAAGAATAAAGAAGATGTTTTTAACATTTTATTTCAAGAACATAACATAACAAGGGTAAAAATGTCTTTTATAATTTAATGTAATGAATTGAGCAGCTTCAGGAGAGGCGTGTAATGAGCTTATGGCGTATTCTCTAATATTATCATGTTGCTGCTACACCTGTTGCATTAGGAGAAAGCTGAGGAAGACTCTGAATATCACTGTATGTATTAAAAATTATCATATTTATTTATTTATTTAATTTTTATTTTAATAATTTAGAAATTAATTGTTATGATTGATATTTGATAGGGTGGGTGGTGTGATGACTTTCTATCACATGTCATGTGCTGCTGCTGTGCACTTGTCCAAGAACTGCGTGAAGTTGAGATGCGTGGAATTCATGGTATGTCTTGTGTAAAGGGCAAATATGGAATTTTGTAGTTGTGATTATGTGTTGTTGATGAAGGGTAGAAATGGAAATTTGGTTGCAGGTCCAGAGAAGACAAAAACAAGCCCTCCACCTTCTCAGTGGATGGAAAGTTGATTTGATTATAATTTATTTGAGAAATAGTTTGTTACATAAGGTTTGTTGCCATTGTTAATACTTAATAGTAAAACCTCTCTCTCTCTCTCTCATGGTGGTTGACTAGTTTTCCTATATGTAAAGTTGTTCTTGATGATATGATAGATTGATAACAATAACTTATTTTTCTGTCTTTTCCTTATACTAGTTGTTCATTATGGGAATAGTTATGCTATTTGCTACACTTTTCATTGATAATTTTATCGCAAATCAATGAAAAAGTTAGAATGTTGGGAATGTATTTGTCTCACACATCTTTTTTAGGGGTGATGTGAGCCTTATTTGGTTTTAAACTGAACCTTATTCGGTTTTTGGGTTCAGGGTTAATTGGGAACATTGGGTTTGCGGGTTAAAAGACAACTTTAATTGGTTTGGCAAAAACAACTTTAATTGGTTTGGCAAAAATTAATCGGGCCTCACCGAATAAGATTTCAATATATATATATATATATATATATATATATATATATATATATATATATATTAATTAATTAATTAATTAATTAGGTAGACAAAATAAAATAACATAAGACTAAAGAATTGGGGGTTGAAGATAATATTGGAAATGATAAACATGTATTAAATTTACAAAGAGTATCTACTTTATTTGCCTTCTTCCCAACCATATAAAATACAAAAGTACATATAAAATACAAAAGTAATATAAAAGTAATATGTGAATAAAATATGAGAAATTAAATATCTTTCTATATTTTTTTTTCTTTTTCATTTTCATATAGATGTTAAAAAGGATGAAATGAAAAATATTATATTTAATGAAATTAATAAAATTTAAAGAGAAGTTAAATATCATCTTACTTTTTATTCCTATAAATCATTCTATCAAATTAAATGGTGACATGTGTAACATTTAATGTTTATTTAATGATATTTTAATATACTAATGTGAAACATGTCATCATTTAAATGAGTAGGAGGATTGGTAGGAATAAAAAGTAGGAAGATATTTAATTTCTCATATTTAAATGTATTTGTCACTATCTTATATCTAAAATGATAGAAGTATAAATAAGAAGAAAATATAGAATGATATTTAATTTCTTATCAAATATATCTCCAAATCTATCCTACCTAAAATCATCATCAACTTGAATTCTTGGCAAATCCTACATGACGTACATGAACGATGGACAATAATATAGCTGGAAAAAAGGTTAATAGTGGTTGTCGAGGCCAACAAAAATAAACACCCTTAATCTTGTATACAAAATAGTGTATAATGGTAAAAAGGATTGAATCCACGAAGATTGGTTCAGTTGTTACTCTATGTAAATATTGTTGTACAAATACTTGTGAAAAGGAAATAAAAGTAAAATTGGGGGATTTTGATATTTTGAGATGTCTTAAAAGAAAATTAGAACTATATCAAGATTTAAAAACACAATTCAACAAAAGCAAGGTTTGATGTAAAATCATTACAAAGATGAATGCTTGACTTTGGCTTTCATCACAAGGACATTTAGTTAATAATCATTAGACATTATGGTGCAAGACTTATGGTTCAAATTAACTTGGCTATAGTAATCCAAGAAGCATGAGATTATCTATATTTTTCTTAGTCAGTAAAATAGCTAGAGAAGCTCATAACATGTTTCCTTAGTTTTAGTCACAATTTCCATTAAGCATATAATTAGTGAAAGTTTACTAGCATTAAGAGTTAAATGTCACCAAATCCAAGAGGAGTCAAATGCTTTCACTACCATGTTAGAGAAAATGTTTTTATGATTGTATGAAGTGAAAACTAACACAAGAACCATCTGTTGCTTACTAATTTAAGGATCCATTACTTAATCAAGAAATTAACCAACTAATCACCCAACAAACATCTAAACTCATGAATAAAGACATATAGATAATGAGATGTTCAAATGCAAAACACTTTCATAAAGATCACCACAAGTTCATAATAGTCTTCACACAACTAAGTATCCATGGATTTTACCAAAATCAACTAAGATTAGTTTATCCAAGCATGACTAAGCTCAAGAAACTAAAATAAGAGTTAGAAATATCAAACATATATCAATATTCAAGGATGAAAGGATGGAAGTTCCAAGGTTTTCTCCCTTCAAAAGCTCCCACAAGTCCAAAGAAAACTACAATTTTTCTGATGTGCAAAAGAACCACGCCAACCTTCCTCAAATAATAACCAAAAAAAAAAATTTCGAAAATGTCCCTCTAGGAGGTCATGCGGGTCGCATGACTTTTGGCCTAATTCCCACGTGGGCCGCATAATCTGGTAAGGAATGGACCAATTTTGTTTCTTGGGTCTGAATTTCATTAGCCTACTAGCCCAGTTTGCATTCCATTCCATCAGGTCACAACCCATAATTCTTTATTATTTCTTCACCTTTTGCCCGATTCACCTCCTTTAAGCCATCCAAAGCTCAAATACTCACTCGATCAATCAATTCTGCAATTTTAAATATCCTTTTCCATCTTTTTTTTAAGATCAATCTCATATTGATTGCCAATACAATGCTTCCAAATTAGCCCATATCTTCCTTTTATCTTCCTAAGCCCAAATCATCACATCTCTTCTTAGACCACTAGCCCAATCGTGCCCGTCAAGTAATCCGATTATGCACCACAAACTACTTGTTTCAAGGCTTCAAACTCTCATAACCGCTCCGCATTAAATAGACTTTGATAAATTTATAAATAAGCTCAAAAGACTAGAAAGAGCCCGATAAAGATGAAAAATAACAAAATGAGAAAATATGCATGAAGACTAACTAAAATGAGATGAATTATGCTAAAATAAACTAGAAAAAGAAGTAAATAAAATGAAACTATTAAATCACCTCAAGCATAAGCCTTAATTGTCCTCAAGTAATACAAGATTAAAATGAACTCGGAATGAACTAACCTAAAAAGAAAAAGAATGAACATCTTAGGTAGCAATTCACGACAACACCCTTAAAATAAAAAAAAATAATCAATTTTTTTTTAGAAATAAAAATCACATTAAGGGACGAGCCTTTGTTACACTTCTAGCAAGGGATAAATTTTGTATGAGATATAATGTAACCATGCATACTTCACCAATATGGTTCACGTGACATAATTTCGTGGTCCGATTTAGCCCACACGCCATAAAAAAGTGTTCCTCAGTTAGAATATTCCTTACTCCTCACAATTTTCACCCCACGTCAATGAACAAAACCTAGAAAAATATCTCGGCCCAAAAATGGCAAGGAACGAGCTATCCACAAAAGTTGGCAAAACTACAATCATCTAAAGGTGTAAGTGCTCCTACCAAAGTGAGATCCATGTAGAGTGAAGAATCGAACACGTGATGAGAAATGGGCGCAATTAATGTAGTTACCAACTAAAGATGGAATCTATATTAGAATCCGGAATAATCTAAACATCTAATGAACGAAAAAGGGATACAACTCCTTTTTTTTTTAAATGTTTTTTACAACAAAACCCCAAGATACAATTACAGTTATAAATATAAACACATGAACTATTGCCATAATATCTTTTAAATATACAATGAGAAAAATACCAAAAATTTCTAACTATATTCACATTTTATGATTGCGATAATATCAAACTTTTCTAAACAAATTTAAAGACTTTTGATAACTAAAACCAACAAAAATAAAACTTCAAGTTTTCAAAGGATCAAAACTTGACTCTTCTAACATAAAAAGAACATATAACACTTCACATAACACATAACAAATATTAGGCTTTTACTAAGAATTGTTGAAAATTGGTGCAAGATTTTCAGAACGACGTTTTAAACAAATAGCCTTAAATTTACGATAGGGACGAGCATCGGAACTAGGTACCCGCTTTCGGAACCAGAAGCGTCTCGGAACTGCCGGTTCTGGAACTGGAACTGCCTTTTGCGGTTTCGGTTCCGATTCCTAAAGTTATGGAACCGCTTTAAGCGGTTCCAGTTCCGGTTCTCATTTTTTTGAAGCCGCTACCCGCTGGGTACCCTCCGGAACCGGTTTATATATATATATATATATATATATATATATATATATATGGTATGAATAAATGTAACACCCCGACTCCCAGGTATAAGTTTTAAAGTATTATTTACATGTTTATGGACTTACTCGACGAGTTGGTTTCCCCAAACTCGTCGTGTAGAGGCGGGGTAGCCCGCGTGGATTATTGGATCTACACAACGAGTCGGAGGACCCGAACTCGACGAGTAGGATCTGGGAGATGAAACCCTAATTTTTAGGGTTTGCACCTTATTTAAAGGACCTTAAGTCCTTACCTCCAGCCCCTTATCCCCTCTTGATGACCAGAAGAAACCCTAATCACCATTAACCTTGTCTTGAGTGTTTGTGAGGCTTACAAAATACTTCACCAATATGGTTCACGTGACATAATTTCGTGGTCCGATTTAGCCCACACGCCATAAGAAAGTGTTCCTGAGTTAGAATATTCCTTACTCCCCACAATTTTCACCCCACGTCAATGAACAAAACCTAGAAAAATATCTCGGCCCAAAAATGGCAAGGAACGAGCTATCCACAAAAGTTGGCAAAACTACAATCATCTAAAGGTGTAAGTGCTCCTACCAAAGTGAGATCCATGTAGAGTGAAGAATCGAACACGTGATGAGAAATGGGCGCAATTAATGTAGTTACCAACTAAAGATGGAATCTGTATTAGAATCCGGAATAATCTAAACATCTAATGAACGAAAAAGGGATGCAACTCCTTGGCCCAATTTTTTTTAAATGTTTTTTACAACAAAACCCCAAGATACAATTACAGTTATAAATATAAACACATGAACTATTGCCATAATATCTTTTAAATATACAATGAGAAAAATACCAAAGATTTCTAACTATATTCACATTTTATGATTGTGATAATATCAAACTTTTCTAAACAAATTTAAAGACTTTTGATAACTAAAACCAACAAAAATAAAACTTCAAGTTTTCAAAGGATCAGAACTTGACTCTTCTAACATAAAAAGAACATATAACACTTCACATAACACATAACAAATATTAGGCTTTTATTAAGAATTGTTGAAAAGTGGTGCAAGATTTTCAGAACAGCGTTTTAAACAAATAGCCTTTAATTTACGATAGGGACGAGCATC